ACAAACATATTCTTAAAATTGCATAACAAAATAAAGGGGCAAATTCGTCAAAATTTGGCCTACAGACTAAGGGATAATAATGCATTTAAGAAAATTGATCGATCTTAATTCCTTTTCGGGGATTCTTCTGTGCGATTTATATTTCTAGCAGCATATTCTGCTAATTTACCTGTAAATCCATGTCTATACAAATCCATATATCGCCACATTTTATCATAATACGTCGATTTTGGTGTTTTCCCTATGTTATAAGGACCACGTCTGCTTTTCTCTAAACTTGCATTCGCTCTCCACTTCAACCAAAGGTTATCCTTTGAAAGCCTGTCCCGAATATCACCACTCCCCCAATCACTTATCTCATCGTTTTCCCAAAGTTTTTCACCTGATGAAGCATCACTCAATCCCGTGTCCATTAATTTAATTCGAATGTGCTGTATCCATCAGGTTGAGTTCGTCTTCTTTAATAAATTTGTCTCTCTTATCTCGAGACATTCGTTTATGTGCGGCTTTTCTTTTATTTGGTCGAGGCATATTAAAACAATAAGTGAGAACAATAATGCTAAATTTTCACTTTATTGGATAATGGAATATTACGCAAATATTTGCACAAATTAGATGTCCCGAAATTTTCATTTTCAAATGCCTAAAACTCGAAACTTTTTTTTAGTCAATTAGAATTCTAAACCGTAACTTTTATTCTACTTCGTCTGCTCTATTATTCTTACGGATTAGTTTTTCTCTAAACCCTCTAATATAAAGGCCTTAGGGTTTTGAAAGTCGGGTATTTTATTTCGGGCTTTAGGTGTCCCGCACCATAGCTCATATGAATTGCCTTTTCAGATTGGTTCCAATACAGTCAAACCTGGTTATAACGAATTCGACAGGACCAGAGAAAATATTCTTTATAACCAGAAATTTCTTATAACCAAGGTCACTTTTATAGCGAAGATTATAATTTATTTATAATTAGGTTCAATATATCCAGATCGCTAGGAACAAAATTTTTTATAATAATGCTAAATTCACGAGCTAAATCAATACCAGTAATTTTCGGATTCATTTGTTTTTTAGACATGACTTCTTTTTCTGTTCGCCTGTTAACGCATTACGTTTTAATTTCGCCTTTCTTGTATTTAAATTTTCTGACATTATTTAAAGATCGAAGGACAAGAAAGACTTTTCATTATTATCTTGAAGATGTGCCATTATGGATTTAGGTTACACTAACGGTTATAACGAATAGTAACGAATTTATGGTGGTACAATTTTTTATAGTGAAGGTCGGTCTGTTTATAAGGAAGATCTTCGTTATAGTCAATTAGTAGCACATTATGTTGTTCTGCCAAATCTTCGTTATAAGCATTATAACCAGGTTTCTTAATGAAATTCGCTATAGTCAGTCATATACTCAAATTTGATTGGCTTAAGAGAAAATCTTCATTATAAACAGATCTTCGTTATAACAAAGCTTCGCTATAACCAGGTTTGACTGTATATCGATAAAAACAACAAATTTCTTGAAAGCCGTAAACTATTTGGATACAAGCTTGAGTATAATAACGGCAACGTTTTATTGTTGATATGTGCATGGAAGAACATGAAGCCGTTGTTGCACTATTTTCAAAATTCCAACCACAATAGTCATTAGGGGTCAACCATGTAAGAAAATTCAAGCTTGCTTGATCTTTGACTTTCTACGGATTTTCTGATATCTTATATCTTTATAGTTCATCCTTCACCAAATGCAGATAGACTTAAGATTGCACCGGCTATTGCAGTACGTCCGGGTGAGGCATACGTTTCAAGACTCCCAATCCTGGCCCTCTCAATCTTGGACCTCCCCAAGCAACACAAGTGTGCACTAAATTTGGTGTATATTATCATTATCTGTTTTGTATACAATTTTCTAATACATATACTTTTGTAGGGGAATTCTCATGCTAGAATAATATGTGAGCTTGCAGTTAGTCAAAATTACCGTGGATTGAAAAATAAGTGTGTACTTTGGATGAGTCAGAAGTACGTGAGACGTGTATCAGGAATAAAACTTTATGATTTGAGGACTACACGAAATACACATGGACAATTTAATCGATCAACGAAGGTATGTATCTATTAACTATTTTATTATAGTTTCGTAGTTGATATTCTAAAAAACATTAAGCTAAATTATAGAGACAGGGATTGCCAACCAAAAAGTAATGTTAAACTCTGTTTAGAGATTCGGTTGTTTTATTTTTCGATATTTACATGTATATGTCTAAAAATAGTGGCATTTTGGGACTGTGCAAAAGGTAGTAGTCAATCCATTGGGTGTAATTGCTCCGGGTAATCCATCAACATTCCAACAAGTGATGTATTTTAAGACCCACCTATTCCAGCTATCGGACATATTCCACTGGTTTCTCGTCCTGCAATTCCTGGTGGTAATTTTATCATTGATCTTTACGAAATTCAGCAAATAGTTTTGGAAAGTTAGCCAAGATAATGAATATGTAGTGTTGTTTTTGTTTTACGTCCCGTTATATAGTTCTTATATTCGATTTTGCTAAGTTTAAAATATTGTCCTATCCCTTGCGAAGATATAGAGCGTCTTCTTTTGCGCTAGTTAAGTCGATAACAATTAATTCTTTACCTTGGGCAAAGTATATCAACAACATCACGCGAACATTTGCAATCTCCTATGATCAAATGTCTGTGTATTGTCGAACCATTCCGTTCAAACGATAATTACATGCACATGCAATTAGCAACTATCATAAAAAAAACTTACTGCCGGCTCTGGACTACATGCAGGAGCTTTAAATACCTTCATAAGTGTTTCTGTCTCGAGCAGTAAAAGCTCATGCAAAGCGTCGTTTGAGAGCATTTTGCGATAAGCAAGAGAGAACTAAACTCTGAATAGTTCTGACGTTGAACTATTTTTTCATTATTGCTACTTTGTTTATTAGAGCAACAGTTTTCGAGAAAAGAGGAAAGAAAGATTTCGTAACTAGTACATATATGGGTAAAGCGAAGCGCAATGCGAAATCAGAGATTATTCTGTTAGCGGGCCACTAAAGTTTCCCTTATACGCCTTGAAATACAACTCGCCGTTACAACAACTACCGCAAGTTTACGTAAATACCAACAGTCTTGGCTTCATCGCGGAAACCTTGCGAGAACAAGTTGCATTACTAGTCATGAAGATTCATGAAGAAATGTGCTTCTGATTAACTTAACCTCTTTCATTATTGCCTTCATTTTCGGACAGCGTATTGAGAAATTAAAATTGGGACGTAATGGTATATACCGTATATAATATGTAGGATTGGCTTGTCGAGGACGCGAAATCAATTTTTCGTCATCAATCACTAATAACACAACTACCACGAATTCAATGCTCATGAAATTCATACATATGTTAAATATAACTGTTGTCAATGTGTAAATGCAAAAAGCTGACACAGAATATTAAGTACGCTTTGAATTTGGATATACCGATTGGCTTGATTCTTCGAAGACGCGAAATCGATTTTTGTTGTCAATCGACACTAACTCAACAACCAAGGATCCAATGCTCGTAAAATTCACGCCCCTGTTAATGATAACTGTTGTTCATGTGTATGCAAATAATTGACACGAAATATTAAGTATTGATTGAATTTGGACACCGATTCTTCCGAAAAGCAACGACCAAAATAGTCTTCTATTATTAGTAACTATAACACGTCTCAGCATCTTCATGTGCTCATTGCATACACCCTGTTCAGACTCTGTAACATGTAGAGTGTATGTAATTCGACAATATCCTAGTAACGTGAAATATTAGTAGTAAGTAATTCACGAGCAATAGTAATGATTCACACTCTCATTTACACTGACCGTAAATAATATGTTGGAGATAATAGCTGGTGATAATGTTGCTGACGGCTTCGGTTCCTACAGATATATGCAAACGTCGTTAGTAGTAGCGATAATCTATTGCAGTGGTTCATCCCGATCACAGCTAATATCGCAGTCTGTCATATACAAATCGCACACGTATTTTGTTTAAACGGAATACTTACAACAAATTCGGGATGCAAGTCACGCATGAGAACGTTAATTTGTAGTCCCCTCAAATACAACTTCAAGCAAGCATGCACATACGGTACTGTCATTACTATTCGAGTTGTTCAAACTCGTAATACTGCCGTCTCAAAGATTTCTGGGCAACCTCATCTAATTATGCTAATACCTTACTGTGCTAACGTCAGTTAGACGTGCGTCGTCACCCCATTGCCCTTAGTCGATGAATGTCAATTGCGTATGTCTCTTGTCTGATTCAACGTATGATTTGTGTGCATATTGAGAGTGATGTGGTAAAGGAAGCGATTTATGGACTTATCCGCACGTTGTAATTGGCAATCTTACAAGCCACGAATTAATGTAGCATCTAGTGCCGGAAGAGTATCGCGTATATAAGTGTTTGGGAGAAGTACGAACGTGATTGTACAAATATCTGTTCGGTATCCTGTCTTCCTCTATTTTGTGTGGTAGTTGAGTATCAAAAATCGCGTATAGGAGAGGTTGTCTGTGAGACGTTAACGTATTTTAATGTTTAAAAGTAAAGGCGCGGCATAAGATAAGCACTCAAATTTAATAAAATACGTTATACCAACACACATACTCGAACATTCTGATCGTACTCACATGTTGATTCATTGTAATTAGAAATCAGTTTAATAATTAGTGATGTACCTGAATATGAAGCTTTAAATAGCTGCGATGGTGCTGTCTCTCCTCCTCCTTCGAAGCTTCGCAACTTCAGATTTCAATAGAGAAAGAGGATCATAAATTCTCTGTTTATGGATAGAGTTTATAATAGTACGCAACTTTCGGCGTGAAGCAAATTCAGCAATTTCAACTCAGCTCGTACAGAAATTGAATGTGATACGTATCACTAATCATAGTTGAACAATTAATGTGCACTTTTATTAATTAGAGCAAGTTAATTAGGAAATCACGAGCAATTACACAAAAATTAGTTTTAAGGAGTAAGTGTTGGTCACATGCTTTATTCTATTCAGCTAGACGACATTGTTGTAAAAAAAAACGCGAGACGACAGACGAGTACGTGCTGAAATGTAAGTTTTGCTGCATTCATAGACTTCGCGTATTCGAGTAAATTCGTACCTAAATCGTTGTAAAGAAAAGAAGACTGTAACTGCCACTTTTATAAAAAACAAAACAAAACCAAACTATCTGTTCATAACGTTGTGCCTGCGTCAAGAGCTTAAGAGCCAAAAAGATTATAATCTTTGTCGCTTTTCTCTCAGATTGTTGTATCTGGAATGCGACGTTTCATCATATCACAGGCGGCGCGCCAACGTTTTAAACAAAAGAAAAAAATGCAAACAAAACTTTTGACATACCAATGTGTTCGGGGTGGTCGAGGTAGTGGAAAGAGGTGAGAATTCATATGCTCACGAAAGATTCCATACGCCCATTTTTATCGGTTGCGTGCCCACGAGTATCAGTTACCAAAACTGGAGTAATAGTAATGCATGGGAAACGTGTTTGTGTATCGTTTTACATAATAATAATAATAATAATGACTACCCCAAGACTTTTTGCACTCACATAACATTTTCGATGACATCATTGGCACTTTTGGCCTGTAATCGATAAATTGCATAATAATATTATGCTATTAGTACCCGGGTAACACAATTAACTTATGCCTACAGTACGTGACGCCGTGGAATTGGATTATACAATCCGATTTAGGTGCAACAGCGCTGACTGCTTCATTTGGTTCGATTATAGACAAGTCGTGCGTATACTTCAGAGGGCAGGCTTTGTTCGAATTCAATATAGCATATTTCGCCACAGACGTGGCTGTCGTCTTCAACATGCAATAAATGCTGTAACTCAAATCAGGCAATTACAGTGGGCGCTCCAAATGGGGCCCCCCATGTAAGAAGCGTTCGAATTTCAATCCAGGTTACGCCATACATGGATTTGACGAACTATGTTCGTGGAGGTCGCGTACCCAATATTCCAGTCTTTTGATTTGGCTATGAAAAGACGAAATCTGTATTAAGAGTAAGTTTCCCAAAGAAACAGATGCACTGGTCCAAGGTCTGCCTATGAGTTGCTAATACAGTCGACCTCCCCTACAGTGACACACTTGGGCCGGGCAAAACCAGTGAGGAAGGGTGACTGTATAAAGGGTTTCATTAATCAACATATACAGTATTACGTAATAAGTTTTAATTATTATTTTGTAAAATAAGATTCGATTTTGACGTTTTTGATTCAAGTTCTTTGAGACTGAGCAGGTTCAGATATTTGGCAGATTCATCACAATAGCTTGGTGTACCCACAGTTCCATGGCTTTGCATTTGTTCAATTTAGGGTACTTAGCAGAATGTGTACTAGGATCATGCTTTGTTGAAAGTATATTAAGCCATTTTATAAAATTTCGGCTACAGTTGAGCAATTCATGTTAAAATTATATTTATTATTAAAGTGTTTGGCAATGTCTGCATGGTTCAAGGTAGAATTTTGTTTCGCATATTCACAAGTTTCGCGTTTATTGTCAATACTCAATTAAACTCTTTTTTTTTTTTTTTGGTTGATGTTATGAGGACATTTACTATTATTCACTACTAATACTGGTGAAACTTATACAAAATCGGATCGTCGTTATTTAATCAGCGCATATTAATAGGATAAAACCTCATTTATGGAATAGCTGGAAGCTAGCACATCCGCGTTAAAGATGATCCGCATCCGAGATTTTTATATCTTTAGTTTTACTAAAGCTCCGCTATTGATTTTCAGCACACGTCTTCGTGTAGAGACTAGAAATACGTTTTAATTAAACATTTTGTTGTTGATGAACTTCACTAAGAATAAACATTTCGGACATAATGCTCATAAAAGTACCAACCTTATTTTTAAACTTCATAATCATTCGTGGTCAATGCGATTACCAGTAAAGCGGTCCACGATTTATCAGCATTACATAATCTTTCGCTAATTAACATTCATTCTTAGTCTGTGGAATGATTTGCATGACTATCTTCGATTACACAAGAATACATGCTATTAGTAATAAAGAAATGCTAAAAACTGATTACGTTTACTGTCAAGTTAAAAATCGTTCTCGCCGAAATTGCTAATATATTATCAATACATACATCTCGGCAGGCGATATTCGATCCACACTTCGGGTTTTGAACGTAATGCTAATAATCGAACCATGTGTACATTAATGTAGCATTATTGACGATCGTGCACGGGCTGATGAAGTGGTAAATGGCTATGTGTCATAAAGTCAGAGACTCTATGCTCCGCATATTAATTTATATGATTTAGGATCAAGGAATGGGGATCAAGAGTAGGTACAAAGTGTCATTTCTCCGAAATAAGGTATTACAAAATGAAAATTAATTAGTTTAGTTGGAAGATCGATATATTCTTTGAATTGGTTCAGATGTTACTACCCATGTTTGGAATTATTATCGGAGTTGATTATATTAGTACTAACGTTATAGCCTTTTTTCCTCATTGTCCCTCGGAAAAAGAAATACAAGTAAACCAAACTCCAATTTATATAGTATATGATTCTAGCTTCGAGTGATAAAGTTACGAGAAGATAGCTGGCTAGTCTATGCTATTGTTGATGGATATATATATTTTCTTCTATTACTGGAAGAGATTTAACAATCTGTGATGACGCACAAAAATATCAACCTTATTTTTAGCACCTATTGTGAAACAAACCATAGAATCATGACACTTCGTGTCTGTGCTTACTCCACTAAACTTCATATTCATTCGTGGTCAATGCGATTACCAGTAAAGCGATCCATGATTTATCAGCATTACATAATCTCTTGCTAATTAAACTAAATTAACGTTCATTCTTAGTCTGCAAAATGATTTGTATAATTGTTAAAGAATAATTCTAGAAATAAACTATAGACACTATTAATAATCAAAGAAATGCTAATACCTGTAATATATGATTACGTTTTCTATCAAGTTAAAAAAATCGGTTTCGCATCTTCTCTACTTTACGTGAAAAAAATGATCTTTATATACGGGATAGCGTTAAATTTTTCTATTGTAAATTAAGGAGTGGTGATCATAATAATGTATTTCCCTTAAAAGGGTTATTTCAAAAATCGAACCTTAGACCCATTACAAATCATATAAAAAGAAGGCGAGGCAGTTAGTGAACCCTTTTATCTGTCTTGCGCAAAAATCAAGTAAACTAATAAAATCTAATCAAACTTACCAATATTTACAACTTGATCAAACGAGTATATCCACAAAGTAATAATAAGGTAAGTTGGTTTGTTGCTCGGCTAGCTATGTCATCACGATGTGAATCGGTAATGTTGTCTTGCACTATTTTTTTTACCTCAGTTGTTAATTCCCGAATTTATGCTGTAGATTCGAAATTACTTAATCTCGAGGAAGTTCTCCTATTACTATGGGGAATAATATAGATAGACAGAAATTTCGTAGATATGGTTAAGATAACTTCTTCCGAAAATCTAGTGTAATAAAAGAGTACAGGGATGAGAATCTTGTAGTTAGTGATAGAAACAAATTAGCTATAGATATTTTCGTAAACGTGAGAAAGCAAAGAAATAATATGATGCTGGGACTCGCATTAAATGGCCTAGGATCCGCGTACTCCCTCCCTCTTTGATAGCATCATATATTTCATTCGCTATCTAAAAACCCAATAAAATTTTGCTCGCTCTGGGCCTTTGCATCGAAAATTTTTTTCTGAAAATGCTCATAATTAATTAACTTTATTACCTTTGTCAATGGATATTATTTGATTTTGATTGTCTAAACGCGCTGTGTGTGTGAGTAGACTTCTGTTTTTAGATCTGGTTTTTTATCGTATTAAACGATATTTGTATTTGTTGAGTTGTGGTTTCTTTTTCTGAAAATAAGCGACTAGTGCTTGCTTCTATAATAAAATCTTGCGATGATGCTTAAATAGACAAATGCGCGTTGCTGCGCATCAATTGTCATTGGTCATTCTGCATATAATGGACATTGTGAAAGATTTACGTAATACGTCATTGATTAAGCCACTGATCAGCGCTAGTATATTACGAGATTAGATCATATTGCGCAGAGCAGCACA